GCCCCGGTCAGCACCCCTAGTGCCCCCCGCTTTCCGGATCCGGATCGAGCGAGGAGGTGGGAGGGGTGGGGTTGCAAAGAGCAGGGGATTGGAAGTTCCCAGGCGGGTTTGTGCCCCCGCAGGGAGGGAGGGAGGAGGGAAGGTGCCCGCAGCTGGGAAGGAAGGGATCTAAAGGGGACTTAGCCTAGCAACCAGGTGTGGCCCGGGATGTGCAGGAGTCTGAAGGTTGCTCCAAGCGCTCGGCTAGCCGTGCACAAACTTGGATGAACTCACTTTTCTCTGCCAGAGTCTGGCGCGACCCTGTTCCTTTCCTCCCAGAGATGAAAGTAAAGGGGAGGGGTGGGTAGAGGAGGGCCAGGCGGAGAGGTGATTAGGAGGAGGAGGAGGTGGGGGTGGGGTGCTTTTCATTGATTTACAGGTTACAAACGCCGGGCCTTCCTTTTTTTCCCCTAGAGGAGCTAGTTTTCTCTTAGCATAAGAAAAGGATCAAAGTCAGATGTTGGCTCGGAAACACAATGGGCGCCTTCCGGAGTGGTCCCAGGCGCGCGGTGTGGTTAGGGCCGCTCGCATCGCCCAGGGCAAACATCAGGGGAAGTCGGGACCCTGGGCGTGGGAGCTTGACCAGCTAGTGTGTGAGTTCTTCCGAGGACCTGCGCTGATGATAAACAGGAATCAATTCAGGGGATTTGTAATCTTGGATTGAAACCGGTCAGGAGGAAGATGAAACAGCCCCCCACCCCACCCCACCCCCTCTAAATCTCCACTCCGCCCTGATCAGTATGCAAAACTTTAGCTGGTCTTTCCTCTGAAGTCTGGAGGTGACAGGGTATTAGTAGGTCATCAGATGCTGTATCCTGGTGGGGGCCGGGAGCTTTGTGTATGCTTAGGATAAAAAAACCTATCCTTTGCTCTGATAAAAATGTGTATTGGTTGATTAAGCAATCTCCTATCCCTATTAGACAGTAAGACCCAATTAGTCACACATTTTTTTTCCTTCAACAGTTGGTAGTTCTAAAAAAATTGAAATAAACGATTTTCTAATCCGATCACCCACCGGGTACAAGCAGCAAGAGTTACCAACTTTTCAAAGTCTATTGTTTGTCCTTTAAATACCTAGCTTGTGCTGCAGAAATTAAGTAAATGGATTTCTTTTAAGGAGAGGAGATAGAGCCCTTGCTGCAAAAGAACTTGTAATTTGTCACCAAAGATAAACTTATGTCTCCCAAAGAGTAAGTGCCAAGGGTTCCAAAAACTCGCCAAGGGACAAGGAAATAAACTTGCTTGTTCACAGAGTCGGAGTTTTGCTAATGATTTCTTGTAAAATTAGACTTTTACGACTTGCCCTGTTCAAGATCTTTTTGACACGCTTGTAAAAGTAGCAGACAGCTGTGCTCATGGTTTCCTGATGATTTTAGAAGTCAAGCGAGGAGCTTGGGTACAGAATCCTTATAAGGTTTTTCCAAACCTTCCTGGCAGCATTTAGAGTAGCCTGTTGTCAAAGGTGACTTCTCAGATTAGTCGAAGAGGGATGCCAAAATGTGGACTGGTTTATGAGGGGGTGGCAAAGTAAATTGATGCAGTGTGTTAAACTTTGCCTTCTGATAAACGCTGGATGCGTGCTTTAACATTGTACATTGTGTGAAGAAATGATTTCATACCCATCATTCTGGATATGGCTCTCCTCTTTTTTCCTTGCAGGAGTGTGGTGCTTTAGCGAACTGTTTTTTATAAAAGAACCGCAGGATGTGACTGTCACAAGACAGGACTCAGTCATCTTAGATTGCCAGGCTCATGGAGAAGTTCCTGTTAAGGTCACGTGGTTGAAAAATGGCGCAAAGGTGTCTGAAAGTAAACGGATCCAGGTTCTGTCGAATGGCTCCTTATACATCAGCGAGGCGGAAGGCAAGCGAGGGGAGCAGTCTGATGAAGGGTTCTACCAGTGTTTGGCAGTGAACAAGCACGGAGCCATTCTAAGTCAAAAAGCGCATCTGACCTTATCAAGTAAGTGCTTTAGTTCTTGGTTGTTGATAGGTTTCATTGCTGAATTTCTGATGATTTCTCGATTCATTAAAATAGTACGAAAACCACACATCAAAGATTTCATGGGCAGTAGTAGTTGATGCCGAGGCATGTGGAGAACCTCGAGATCATTTTGTTTATAAAAATTCAAGT